GGGCCATGCATTACATAAGTATGTAGTACATATTAGCGCGTGCAGCAGACGACCGTGCGCGGGGCCACACTTCCCTGAGGCGGCACACACTGCAACGTGAAGTCGTTGCACCCTAACCCGCATTTCATCGTAAACCAGTAATGAAAGTATGAATTGGCTCTAGTTGTTTATGAGTGGAAAATTAAAATAAAACAAAACATCTGTATTGTTAACATAAAAAAAAAATTAGAATACATTTTCTTATACACTAATGATTATGATGAAGTTTCAAGCCAAAAGATTGTTTTTGTTTGCTAATAATTCGTTTATTTAACTAAAATATTACAACAACGGTACCACCAGTTCCTTCTGATGTGCGTAATGTCATCATGACTGAAGACAGTTTACATGAATTGATAACAATGTGCTGCAGGCTCGGCGTGACGCGCATGCTCGAAGTCATGCGGAGCTGGTACTGCAGCCTGTCCCAATGGACAGCGTTGAGCCCGCTCAGAGGTGCTCATCACGTTAACAGTAAAATAAAAAGATAAACAAAACAATGACTATATAAAGGTGAAAAGTAAGCAGTAAAAGTAAAAGAAAACGAAAAAAACATAATGAAGAAAATGAGATTCAATTTTTTTAAATGATTTTGTTTGTCCAGTAGTATTTCCTTAAATTTCTTCTTGAAAAGGGACAAAGATACTATACGCGCAAGGGCGGGGGTAAATCATTCCAAATCTTTGTGGAGGAAAATTTGAAACCTCCTCTGTAGCTGGCACTTTTATGTTCAGGGATCTTTAGGAAATTCTCGATTCTTCTTTGTGTAGAGTACAAGTATGACTAAAGATTGTAAAATTTTTTCAAACTGCCAATTTTCGGTGACTTTATCTCTATTTTTAGCTCAATGGTTGAATATTTTCGCGTCAATTCTTTTCTCTGGTTATTTTATTATATAATAAGTAGAATCGTTTAAAAAATCAAAAAAATACATGCATATTCCCTATTGCGGATTGCAACATACCTAATTTATTGTTAGTTCCAATACAGTACTCGAGCCATGAACTTGTCTGTTTCAAATTCCCTTTTCTCGAATTAACAATATTATTCTATACTTTTACTGTTCCTCAGTAAAGACATATCTTAATTTTCTATTTAATCGAGATATTTTCGTCTATGGATTTAAGTTTATTGCTGACATTTTGTTCATGTACAAAACTCTGATTAGATTCTTTCGGACTCGTAAGATGTTGATGACGTGTTGAAACATAAAATGATTTTCGTACAAAAGCAACTCTGTAATTAATTAAGCCATTCATACTTTCATTGTATGGAATTTCACGGGGATGTACTACCGTGTAATCGAATTCAATGAGAGTTAGAAATTATATTAACTAATTACTGCCTCAAAATGTAATTTGTTGTCTATGGATTTTTTTGGAAAGTACTAGTGTTTAAACTAATACAAACATATTGTTCGTAAGACTTGTTTCTTACCACGCTTAGGTTATTTGTGCCCCCGATACACACATGTATATTTTAATAAGATTACAAGCCTTATAAAAGCTGTTTAGATTGTTATAATTTCTTATATCTATTAAATTCGACTACACAAATCACATATGTATTAAGATATTTTTATGTAATTGTTAAGTAATCGTAATAACATTCCGAAATAGAAAATATCGATGATAGCATTCCATATATATGGAAGTTTTTATTATTTGTTATCGCATTTATAAAAGTACATTATGTAGTTTAGCAAATAAGATGAAAAAAAAGGAGTAATGTCAAATCTATTAAGTGATAATTAAGTCTTCCAACATCAACTTAAGTCTTCCATCATTTTTATAAAACATACAAAGTCTTATTTATATTCTACTATTAGCAATAATAAATATAGCTTATGTTACTCTCAGATAAATCACCTTTCTTATGGTAAAGGAATTTTTGAAATCGGCCCAGTGGTTTTTGAGTGAATCAAATACATACAAGCATCCAAAAATACAAATCTTTTCTCTTTATAACATTTGTATAGATGATGCTCGTAAATGTTGACTAAAACTGTTATTTACATTTATTATTTAGATTTATAATATACATGTAGAGTATTTAATTATTACAGTGTTATTTTATTACATTAATCTGTGTTAAGACATAGTAATCAGAATAAAAGTGTAAATTCTGTATAACTGGTTTGTTATATTTTTATTATTTAATCTTGCCAACAGTGCCTCCATGTAGGTTATTTATAGATTTAAGCAAAAAACTACATCTTGTTAATAAAAAAATCATTCGATATTGTTGAGTCTTCCAGAACAATTACATTGGACTTCCGGAAAGAGCTGTGTTCGTTGTAACTGACACTTACCGCCACGTACAGTCATTTAATGGATTAAGCAGACCCTTAGTGTGTACCTTTCAAATGACACTTTTAGTTGCCATTAAGTGATTAGAGATGTGGCAGTTAGTGCTGAAATACAAATTATTTTTAATTAATGTAATAAATTGCCTTTTTGTGGCATTGTCTTTATTAAAGTCTGCTGAAAATGGCTTTTTTATATGTTCTAAGTATATAGGAGCTATTGATCTGATGCCAGCACTGGCTTTGTATTGATTTTGACATAATTATATATTAGAATATTTATATTGTTGCTGTTACTTTATTCCGGAAATAATTATTTTCAATAAACGTTTTTTAACACTACAGTTGTTTTATTTACATTTTTTGTTACTTTGTTGGTAATGGGTCAGTTATACTATTTCTGTGGTAAGTTTGAATTAAGCTAGGAATTAAATGTTATGCTAGGAAGAAAAGCCCGCCGTAAACACGAATTGTAAAAACACTTTGCAATTGCTATTAATAATTATAATTTACGACATAAGTAATGCTCAGACAAGAGAACAAAGATATCGAGTGACAAATAACTAACTAAATCTGTGAGCAAATATTTTATCATAATATTTATAACACCTCCTGTGCCGACGTTCAGGAACCTTGTGACGAAGCTGCAGAGTTCAAATTACAAGTATTACAATGCTTTAAACAATTATTTATTAACCTATACTGATTGTAAACCTATACGATATAAAAGGTTATGCAACGTGTTACTAAAACGTCTACTCTACTACACACCGTCAAGATGTCGCGAGAACTATTGAGTGCACACAGCTTATTCACTGAGAAACAGATGCACCAGATTGTAAGTAAATCTCTTGGTTTACGGTGCGCTGATGGCTGGCAAGTGATAGCCTGTGACCGGCGGCCGGCGAGCGCCGGTCTGGTGGGCTTCCTGGGCGACCACGCGCGTGTTACACTGCACGTCAAGTGCAATGGCCTCGTCAAGAAGATACGACTTTTCGTGAAGACCATGCCCGCCGCCAACCCTCCCAAAGCACAGCTTATCGACAGAAACTTTTACTTTAAGAGGGAGGCGATGGCTTTGCGGCTGGCGGAGGAAATGCGCGGAGCGGACGGTATGTAAAACTCATTTTTAACCATTCATATTATGATGAGGCATTGTTATAAATGAATAATTTATAGGTCCGAATCCGTGGACAGTGCGGGCGTATCTGTGTAACGACCGTATGATAGTGATGCCGGACTTGGCGACGCAGGGCTACCGCACTCTACCGTACAACGAGACGCTTTCGCTCCCGCACGCGTTGATCGCCGCCGCCGCCCTCGCGCGCTTTCACGCCGCCTTTGCCAATTACATTGCTGCGAGGACCGCCCGCGACGAAATCCCATATAACTTCTTGCAGGAGCACGGGGACATCATGACCGAACCCACTTTCTGCGATTCGCCCTGGATGAGAGCGGCCGCAAAACTCAGTTACAACCTGCTAAAAACACATTCTAACAAATTTGAGCAGTACCCACAAAATCTGGAGGCTCTCCTTACACAGCGGTACCTGGAGGCGTGCGCCACGCTCTCCGAGCACGAGAACACGCTAAACGTAATACTGCATAAGGACATGTGGATCAACAACATTATGTTCAAGTACGACGGCAACGTGCCGACGAACGCTCTACTGATAGACTTCCAATGCCTGCGCTACGGCCCGCCCGCTTTCGATCTCATGGTATTTCTGTACTTGACGACGGAGCGCGAGTTTAGGGAGCAGCACGAAGAGGAAATCATTCATCACTACTTCACCATCTTCTCTGCGACTTTGGAGGAAAAGACGAAGGTCGGTTTGAAAGATATGAAGTACAACATGGAGGAGTTGGTGCAGTGGTGCGAGAGGAGCCGGATGTTCGGCATGTTCGAGGCGCTCGGCATATTCCCGTTCGTGCTGATGGAGCCGCTGGCCGCGCAGCAGACGTTCGACGATGCTGACACGTTTGTGCGCTACTGCGAGGAGGACCGCAGCGCGCCGGTGCTGGCGCACTGCCGCCGCGACCCTGACTACCTGCGCCGGCAGCTGCACGTCACCGAGGAGTTCATCGAGCGCTACATTATGCAGCATTCCACATCATCGCACACTGTTACAACGTAACGTTTTATAAGATTAAGAAACGAAAGGCATAAGCCATTTTTTTTAACTAAGTAACTTAATGTGGTATAGCATTGTGTACGAATGCTTTAAAAAAGAAATATTATAAAAGATTGAATACTTTGTTCTTTTTTTTTTAATGTTGTTTTCATTGCATATTGACTTTTTCACTTTCACTTCACTTTATTTAGGGGCTCGTTGGACTCATCCGCCAATGATCCATGTGTGCAAAAAAAAATGTCGAAGTAATTGCACAAGGTTTGTGAATGTCGAGCGACTTCGGAGTCTGTTTAAGGCAGAGCAGCTCTCCATACCTGGACACACCATATGGTCGGCTCACTCATTGCCTCATTTACTTTGTGATGTACTCTTACTGACTTAATGACCCTTCAATCGTTTTTTTTTTTACTTATTTATGACATGTGACTGGATTACTTACTATGTCGATATCAATGATAAAAAATGTTCAATATTTCTGCTTAGCAAAGACTATTTTGTGTGTTCTTCTAAAATGACCTTCCAGATTCAAAGTCTGTGTAATCCTGTAACATACCAAGGTACGAGGTAAATTGGACTGCATAATGCAGCAATTCGCATCATAACCACTAACAACAATTCTCAGAACTTTGTAGAAATGAAATTATTTTTGAGCTCCTCGTTAATTAAATGTAACATCATTCGGTTTTGTGGTTTTGATTATTTTGCGTTCTTCTAATAGTCTTATTATTGTTTATTTATATGGAACTGAATAATTGGTGTCAAACCAAGCATAAGCTTTAGTTGAGATTTTTATTTGTTAAATCATTTATTTTAGAAATTAATTTAGTATTAACTTTTTTTTTTATAACATAAGGTGGCAAACGAGCAAGCGGCCACCTGAAATCGCCAGAATGGCGAAGCGACCGCTGCCCATAGACATCCGCAATTGCAGATGCGTTGCCTACCCTTATACGACAGAGGAGGAGACGCACATAAAGAGGATATTTCCCCTTCCTATGCATCTCTTCCACTGTCAAATCCACTTCCCCTTTGAATTTGAATTTGGAGACATTAAACAAACTTTATTACTTAACTGTGACACGGTCGCGCCCAATACAGTGGTCTCTGCCTACCCCTGTAGGAGTCGTGTTGTTGTTATTTATTTCTGCGGTGCAGTGCGGATTGCGTAGATGCGTTCCTGTAGGGATACTTGAACCGTGAAATGACACACTAGAGCAGCATTGTGTGCTCTATGCCAGCAGGACACGCGCTGTCGAGCGCCCGACCGGCCACACCGGACACACCGGTACACGACCTTCCAGAGGACACCCTGCACATTATTGCATCACATATTACAAACATCAAGTATGCCTATATGTATGTAATTCTTCGATAAACTGTGCGCCCATCTGAACTCAAACAAAAGAGTGTCATGGAAAATCTTGTAGCCTAGGTTGTTCCACGGTATGCAGTAATGAGTTGTTATAGTACATCTAAATGTGCTCGATAAGATCCATAGCAATTTCGATCTAAATTATGTACCTATATTAAAACGAAGCATATAGAGAATACATTTTGTAACAAGTTTTTTTCGACTTTTAACTTGATGGCCAAAAACGTATGCAGTTTGCATATTTTTTTTGTTTCCAGTAGTGGCGGAATATGTGTGTCGATTGCAAGGCGACCCCGTGCGGTGCACTTTCGTCCTCGTCCCGCCTCTTGTTGCTAAATTCATGAATCGAAGTTCTCCGATACAATCGATCTCCAGCGCGCAAAATAAGGCGTGTGAAGGTGAGCAGCGCCATGTGTCCGCGCGCCCTGCGGCCGCCGCCGCCGCCGCCGCCGCTGGGGCAAGGCGTACTGCATTGTCATTCACAACCATCTACTGTTTTTTTAGAGATGCAGTCATCACTTATTGCAAATATCAAAATGCAAAAAAAGTTTATCATATTAAACGATTTTTATTAAAATAAAGTAATAATTTATTGGCAAGGGCATGAGAGGGCTGACGCGGCGGCGGGCGGCGCGGCGGCAGCAAGGCTGACTCATTCTACCCAAAATGAGTCTCCTTGCATTCCATGCCCTTAACGAATGTGCAACTAATTATGGAAGTAATTATGTACACGTAATTCTTTTACTTTCCTTCGAACATGGCGCTGCGACAACAATCGATGTAATAATTCACATCAGTTTCACATATCTTCTTATACTTTTTACAGATAATTTCTTAGGTCATCAGATGGACAGGACAGTATCGTACTTCGGCCACATAGCAAGATCAAAGAAAAATATTTTTAATGGGTACAGAAATGTTGACAATTTCGTGTTATCGCTCAATTTAGATTCACATTTTAAAAATTGGCGAAAAAATTCACATTATCATGTTGAGAATGGGCTCCCACACTGATAACACGTCATCCATGTTCCGCATTCGCCGGCCGCCCAGCGGTGGGCCGAAAACGCGCTGCCTGCCCACTTGTTGCCTTAACAGAGGTTAAAAATAATAAATTTTGCATATTTAGAAATGGCTTAATATCCCACATTATTTAGTTTGTGATTTATAATGTTGGATTTTATATTCATCAATTTGTATTCATGAGACTTGTCGTTTATACATGAAGTAGACGAAAATCTAACAAAGATTGCTTTTCTATAAATTGTCAGCCTATCGTCAAGTTGAGTGACATTAACATCTGCGTTTTAGCAACATACGAGTAGTTCGTAATTAAAGCTGTCGCTGTTCGATTTTTATTTAAAAATGGACAAGTCTCAATTGTTTAGTAAATCCAAGTATTGGAGATAAATAAAAACATGTAAGATATAGGCCAGGGCCGGTGACATCACACTGCGACTGCGACTGCGCCGGTTTTAAGAAGTACGCCATTTTCCTGGTGCCTGCGCACGCGGCGCGGACACTGCCATGTTTGGAGGCGATAAGGCCGCCCGCCGCCGCCCGCCGCCGCCACCCGCCGCCACCCGCCGCTCGGCTAGTGCAAATATTTAGTACAAATGACTTCATTTCATTGTAAAGCTTTTGATACTTTTTGTCTTGACCTCGCACGTAATTGCTGTGCGTTTGTAAATCGTGTAAGCTCAATATAACGTAACTTTTCTTTTCTCAAGTCTCAGAAACTTTGTTTATACGTCCCGTCGTATAAAAATAATCCTAATTTTTAAAGAACCACATAATTAACTGTTAACTTACGTACTTACGCTAACCAAAAATTTGTCCATAAACCAATTTATCCTTACTTAAACGACCTATCGATAAGTTTATTAAAGTATCTCATAAGAAAATCCTGTGAAGATAAATAATTGAATCTTTGGTCCTTCCAATCGTTACATCGTTCAAGTTAATCAACGTACAAAAGTTTATCGAACCTCCATAAGTAAAACAATCAGTTCCACATTCTAACAGGAAAGAAACAGTTGATCAGTTTAATCTTAAAACCTTTTAGTTTCCAGGGGATGTTAAAGGATATTTTTGTGACAGGGGTGGTGCGTCTCCGGGAGTGGTGTGTCGCCGCATACCTCTCACTTTCGCAAAACACTCGATTAGCGAAGAAAGTGATTTATAATGCACCGTTAAGTGCTTTTAAAGTTAACTGTTAACAAAATTAAGCGTTATTCAATTGAATAACATTCTCAATACAATTAATTGTTATTCTTATTGTCGCTTTCGAATACTTTAAATGATTATAAGCGATTGTGTTGTTGTTCGCGAGTGTTTTAATAAAAATGTAGAATTCTTTGAATAGAAGATTATTGATTCTTAAAACTCCCATAAAAATCAGTCTTATTACACGAATGTACTTCACTATGAAAATTCATTAGTTGTCTTTGATAGTCTATCAGTAGCAGAAACTATAGAGTCGTAACTTCGATAGCAAAGTCCAATTGTTATGGATTTATGAAAATCTACGAGCTGTAAGTAAAGCTCCAAGTAAAATTAAGATAAGCTGAAACTGCGAGGCGAAGGTGATCCGTGGTGCATACCAACTACCAACTCCGCGGAAAGTTAAATTTAGTAGTTTAAGTTTTCACGAAATAATTTAAATCAAATTGTATTCAATTTAACTACATGTTAAAATACATGTTTTGGTTAAACATTGGATTGTTTGATATTAATTGGTGGAGGCAGAGGTACGTACATCCTGACTGAACTACATGTCTTACGTATTACTCAAAAGCTTAACATGTACATATTTTTAACTATTATGTATACGAAACCTTTTTTCATACACTCAAGGTTAGTTACATGAACACACGGTTGCCTTAAAAGGGCTTTTATTTATAAACCGACGACGTCGGTACCGGGCCTTGTGTCTACATTTTTAGGTAATATCGCTTTTTGGCTAAGAATTTAATTCTTATTCCCTTGGAAGGTTCTACATAAAAATACTTACACTTCCTGACAATATGTTTAAGATGTTAAAAGTGTAAAAATAATTAAAGCATTAACCATATCACGTTTTTTTTTTTATTTCAATGAGCAAAGTAAGGTCACATAGTTTATTTCATTTCATGTTGGAGTGAGGAAGGGATAAATAAGACGAGATTAAGATTGGTGTTAAGCCGAAGGGCAAAAGACATAAAGAAAGGGTTATGTAGTTATAGATTGGTGGAGCGGGTGTGCGGTGTCCTGCGGTCGCGGCGTAGCGTTACCACTTGCGCCAGCGCCGCTTGCGACACGCGCCGCCGCCCCGCGCCAGCTCTGACGCCAGGTCGCCACGTACATACACCCCCGCCCCCGCCACACCCTGACAAACCACTCGGTCATGATAACGAAAATCATAAGCGACTATTTTAAAACCATTAAATTAAAGTTAATTATTAAATAAAATTTATGAGATCAATTTCCCAGAATGAAGTATATTTTTAATGCCTAAGTTCTTTCAGATGAAATCACAGGCCGCCTACGCTCGTGTCCGCCGCGCGGCCGCAGACTCGGCTATCGGCGAGCGCGCTCTATGGACCATGATAAATTGTGCGCCTTCACAATGAAGTGAGGCAATTATAGATTATTATTATCTCTTTGCATCAGTAGTGAAAGGTAAATTTATCGAGTATGAAATGCAAGAAGCTTTTCTAAATATTATTTATCTACAGATATGTAGTTAGTAATTACAGGTAAAAAAGGTTATATAAAACATAGATCTTAATATTCTCATATCAGTGTTCGATGCCAAACTTCCATTGAATATTGTTAATTGTTTGTACATCTCTACAATGCAAAAGCTGCGTGCACAATGTGTCTGCCCACGGCCACGCGAGGCCTCGCCCACGCCCACGCGTGCGCCGATTCATTGGCTGCGATCCAAGGCGGCAATACATCATCACTTGTTTATAACCGTATTAAGTAAACAAATAAGTTTCTTCATGAACATGAACTTACAATTGTGATCAATCAAAAAATAATATACTTTTTCAACGATTATTTTTATTTGAAGTAGAAGGCTTGAAGTAAAAGACGACTTTTCTTTAATTTTAAGTGCTATCTTAAGTAAGGAACTTAATTGAAATACAACGATCTTGGCAACATGCCGTCCCTTACAAGGATAGCTATTCACCGTGAATACAGATTCTTTTCCTATCTTCATTAAAATCTTTAATGCCTACTAAATGTCTAATCATAGACAGAGAAAGTGAAGTCATTGTGTAGTAAAATGTGGATATCGTAAATTATTATGCGATAATTTGACCGAATGTTATATTGTTACTTGACATACTAGTTACGCACTAGACGGCGCCCTCCTCACGCACTATGATCGTGCGTCACGCGCATCACAACACGAATGTCAGCACAGCAACGCAGCGTGTCCCTGCCCTTACCCCTTTATGTATGCATAAGTGTAATAATGTGTGCCATGCTCAGCCCATTTACACGAGTTGGAAAAGGTGCAATGGATTAATGTAGTTAATCTACAATATGGTTCTTCCTTGTTATGCGTCGTGTAGATGTATGAACGAAGAAAGATAGGGTGAGGTGGGTCGAGATCTAGCCAATAGAGTTCTGTGGTCTCTGCATATCCTCTGATTTACAGGAGTTATGTTAATGTTTATAAAAAAGCTTAAACGCTGATAAGTTCTAGAATTCTTAATTACGCATTCTCTTTTAGCCGATTATCTATGATTTAGTATTTTCAGTATATGCAGATAGCATTTCTTCTCCCAAGACTGCTAAGGATAACTACGTATTTTTACAAGTGAGTCACTGTCTAGGTAGGAAGTTTACCACTGTCACTTACCAAATAAGAAGCTGGAGAGGCTATTACCTCTTATCGGAACTAAGATACGATTATCGTGTCGGATAACTGGGCGACATGTTTACGTGTCGAGGTGTCTCAGCGGCGTCCACGCGTGGGCGTGGTGACGTCACGCAGCCTGGCGGCGGACTGTCCAACAAGCCTACCGAGTACTTTTGACTATCAGATTTCAATTACAGTGATTTCTTATAGTTTATAAGCCTAATTTGACAATGTTCTGCTGCAGACCATAATTTAATTAAATCGATTACATTATCATGAAATAAAATATTCAACATCAAGCAGAGAATTTTAACTTGATTCCCAATAGTGAGAGTGCGGTACGATACGTCCCTGTCGTCCAGTGAGCTCAGTCAGGTTGCGCGCAGGCAGGTCGCAGGTTGTCGACCTGTGCCGAGCGGCGGCGGCGGCGGCGGCGGTGCGGGAACTCGCGCGATCCCGGAATGGCGACCGATTGTCTTTTTTTTCGGCTCTTGTTTGGACATCGCCAAGATTTATGCGCACCATCTCCCGCACAGCGAATTATTACATCTGCATACATTATTTATTACACTTAAAATTATTTGTAAATGTACATGTATTATTATGAGTACAGTAAACAATACTTTATTTGTATTTTATGCACGGCTCTTTCCCGCCATTTCGTATTGGATGTCAAAATGGCAGCTAGTGTTAGTTTAATTCACGGTTAATTTCTTGTCTAACATCCTGCCCACGCCGCAGCCTCCTTTAATTGCTGCTGTCGTGAATGTTATTCATAACTTTGTCAATAAAACGTAGTAATTATGTACGTGTGGGCTTGAGGAAAACTCGTAAAATAATTACCAGTTCTATATGACGACGGGTTTGACACATCGTTGAAGCAGAATACTTATTTTTAGATATATTACTTATACTTCGTGTAAACACAATCCGATATCAAAAGTAAAACCTCAAAAACCTACCAACATCATAACTCTTCTCAAAATTTTAGGGACAAAACAATATTTAAGAAATCGTGTTTATACATTTATGTAAACAAATAGAAATAATAAATACAACGAAATTCCCTTTGTTGAATGGTTAATTCCTAAATTAACTGTGGAACCTTCAGCGATAAGTAAAAAAAGGTTCGCCAGACGGAATGACGTCACTGTCGTCGACTGGAACGATGACGTAACACACTTGCATCAATAAGGCCGACATGCGCTGACGAGTCAAAACTAGCTCCGTGCTTTAGGAAACAATTTTGAGACTTACTAATATGCGTTTTTACAGCAATAATACACTAACAAAACTCACATGTATATAATTAAAACAATAGATGATTAGTACTTCTATATTTTTGGTGACATATAAAATTACCAACTTATACATTTTAAGCAAGTATCCACATAAAATTCAAGTATAAAAATTCAAACGCCATTTTACATCCAGGCCGCGCGGCAGTGGCGTCATGCTGTTGCCATCAGTCTGACTTGGCCTGCATTCTATGCTGATGACTTACTAACAATGTACTGAATATTTTATACATACTGTTCACACCGGTCTATTTACTGGGAACTAAGAGTAGGGTCCGAGCCTATATACACCCTCAAACCTGACATGTCTCTGTGAACAATGTGTTCTAAACTGCCAAAATGATTTACCGGAATAAGCGCTACTGCGAAAAGTTTATCTTAATAAGTATTAAAACAAAATGCCGGAACAGTTTCGTCTAAACAGTCCGCTCATATTTGCAATGCGATTCTCTGTTTTCAATGATACTTGATCTAGAGTGATACACGATTATGTTTTACCAATATAAATCCGAAAGTTTGTGTCTATGGATATTTATTAAAGAACGGCTGAACGGATTAGGGATAGATTACAGCCTGGAGTAGGACATATACTAATATTTAATTACCGTGGACGGAGTCGCTGGCGACGGCTAGTTATTTCTCGTATGAAACGTTAGACAACATCGTACAATGTCTTAATAAGTACATCCTAACCCCGATGTATGTGGTCTGCGGGAACAATGGCTATCGATTTAAAAACAACATTGATTTACAAACAATAATGTCGTGCGGCTGTCACGGCGCTGCTTGTGACTGCTTGTGGCAGCCGCAGAAGGGCGATGTGACTTGTGACGTCACTACAGCTATTCAAATTTAGGTCAAAGCTTCAGTAATTAAAGATTACGCGTGCACTATTTAATCATCAAGTATTAGCAAGAATCGCAATGGATACATTTTCCTTATAAAACAAATAAAGCACGTTTGTTTAATTATTGCTCGGAAATTCTGCACCACAGTTATCGCGAGACATGCTTTCTTTGCGATTTATTTTACGTTATACTTAACATCATCACTGTGATTGATGTGACTGTTGTCATTTTGACGCACATCTCAAAAATTATTGGTGCACTACCTTAAAATAAAAGAGCAACGGAATTATTAAAAATTAAATTGTAAATTGTATGCTGAATAGTAAAGGAGCTAAGGTAATAATTATGTTTTTAAATTAAAACAAAAGCCCTAAGTACATTTCGCGAGGCGAGTTCGTGTAACAGTGGACGTAACTTTCTCAGAACATTCGTCGGGTGGAGGGCACCGAAGCCTCCGGCAGAGGGATGGGAGGGCAGCCGGCAGCAGGCAACGAGGCGGCGGCACCTCGCCGGACCTGCGCCGGCGCAGCCTAGCGCGCAGTGATCGCTCGGTCGCCGAACGTACCACACGTACACATCGCTCCTAACTACGAACGCATATAAAATAAACAAAAAAATACCCGACCTTAAGTGACCCTTTAGTGCGCCGAGCGGCCGACACGAACGAACCGACTTCGCGAAGACCTAACGCTTCTAAATTAACCACTAACATACAATTGAGCTTCTATTATTTATAAAAATTAACAAAATTAAAGTGTAAATCAAAAGATAGTGTAAAGTTTTTTAAATGTTAACGGCCGGTCTCGGGTAGAATACGTCGCCGAGCTCTCAGGTGAGTTACAACTTATACCATAACTTAATTATCACTAGAACCAGTGAATCATCTCGTTAGGGCGATGCCTTTTAACTTGTTTCTAATGAGTTTGCTTAAGATATATCGTTAACGAAGACTTTGAGAATTCTGGAAATAAGTTGTAGTTAAGCTTAAAGTTTATTTTGATTTAAGCAGAATTTAAAACAAGTTAGTTATTTGCTGTACAATCAGTGCTTTACAACTGTGTTGTTGGTGGATTGATAAATGTTTAATACTCGTAGATAGTTGCTATTTTAAACCGTAGATTAAGCTAAGTCGTTAATCTGTCATTTTACTGTCGTCTTCATCTGTTTTGATTTAACTGCCGAACCATTTTTGTTTCATACATATTCATCTAATGTAAAGGGAGTAGATAATATGTTTAGAAACAAGTGTTTGTACAGTGTGAACTCAGTTAAGATCACAAAGAGGTGATCTGTATGTTCGGGTATGTTGTATTGGTGGGGCGCTGCCGGGCGGCGCGGCGGGTGCAGGAATGTTCCCGGCTTTGTCTCCATTGTATCAAAACAAACAGCCGTGAGGTTGTCCGCTGTTTGCTCACCTGTGTTTTGGAACTCTCATACACGTATCTGTAACTCGAGGAATTCTGCATCGTGTTTACATTGGAATACAAATCGCCTTATCTTCCTTCACCTATACATATTAATTAGCATCCTCATTTGTATTTACATGTTTAAGTACGCTCATTACTGTATTGAGTCTTGTTTACAGTAACTCAGGACATTCGATCATTACAGGAGACATCGCTACATACATCGGTTAATACAGTATGTGTGCTGTTAATGCACTGAAAACATTAATTTAGTTTCCTCTTAAAATTAATACATACTGCTTAAACACCAAAATATCAGTCAACCGATTTCCGATTCCTTCGATGTTGTTATACTCGGCTTTGACTGTAGATCTGTAGAATATGAGCCGCTTAAGGAAAAATTTAAGGCTTAACGGGTCGCGATGAAATTCGGTACATATGTAGAATGTAATCATGTTTTTTTTAATTCTTCGGACGGCAGTATTTCTAAAGAAAACTTTGAAATGGGATGGGATCCTGCGGGGTACTTGAACTAGGCTGTAAAGTCTAGATAGACCGATAAGCGGTCAGGTTTGAGTCCAGCCCGACAGGAACCGCGGTCACGACCGACTCAGTCGGGACTCAATGTTGCACATTGCAACATTTAAGTTCAAATTAATCAGGTAGAATACGTTAGTTAAAACAATCGTATAACTAAATTAATTAGAATTTAATAGGAATAAACGTTTTCTTGTGAAAATCTCATTAGAAATGCAATGGCATTGTAATGACAAAATGCACCTTGATAAGAAATTTGTTATAGTTGTTTATATAAATAATTCGTAAACGCGATATAAAGTTAAACTTAGGAATAACTGAGTATAGGCAAATATTAGTACAAATTTTGCTTATACTCAGTACATTCCTAAGTTTGACTTTATACCGCGTTTATTTGTAAGGCTGTTAGTGTTTAAGGATAATGGTGAATATGTTAGAATGTTGTTTGTTTGTCTGCGTTTCAATTGAATCACTGTTTAAATTAATATGAATACATCGTGACTAATTTTGATAAATAAAATCAACTAACTGCTTGGATAAGCACTGCTTAGGTTAGGTTAGATAAAACCTATACTCGAAAAAAGTAAATAAAGACTATTCTAACGACTACTGATGTACTTTTTATGGGAAATAATATAACTTACTTGATTAGCCTTCAAGTAATGAGTAGAATTACATAGGCATAATATATTCGAAATATATTCATATTTCCAGTTGCTATAGACGTCGTTAATGTCTCAGTATCAAGTAAACAAACGACGCCATCGTGGAGAGAATAAATGGAGTATAACTTTATATTTTTATGTGTTTATTCAACATCACAGTGTCGACCATGAAGTCATCATTACAAATATTGTATAAAACTCTAAAGTGCATGCAATTTATTGATCAGTTGTGATTTATAATATCTGACTTTAATTTAACTATAAACTTTTTAGGCTACATTTGTGTACTTTCGTTTCTAAATATGCATCGTCAACTTTTTAAAGCATGAAGCTTTATTATAAGCTTGGCAAGTTAAAATATTTCCCAAATATCAGTCACAAACTGGAATACCTTGCTTCAATTATTTTTCGCAGATAAGGTTTTAAATAGTGTTTCCACATTCGAGACATGTGAAGGATAATTATTGTTCGATAAACCTAAACGATGTCACACGATATAATTCGACTTTTACTACAATTAATTAGTATTTACCTTGTGTATATCGGCGGCCTCGTCTCTGTCCTCGATGCGCGATGTGTGTCAATATTGACATGTTTGGCTGCTGCTGAATCTTACCTTTGCCCTTGATATACATTAAAAAAGTAAAAACAAGTTAAGGTCTCCGAGTAAAGATAGTTTTAGTGCCAACGTCATTTTTTCTTTGTCGGGCGCCTTTTGTTATACAATGTGTCTTGTAAAATAATGAACTATTTAATTTAGCATTATTCCATTTTAATGTTACTAAATGCTTGTTGTTTATTAAAAAGAGGTTTAATACGATAACGCCTTTTTATTCCGAGTTGAATATATTGCATCAGAGATGTGCAGGTGTGTGTTATCGCCGCGTCGCGTCGCACGCGCCCTGCGCCCGCGCGCCGTGCTGCGCTGTGCCGTGTGCCCTATCGACGCATTTCGTCTAATCCTCCACTGACGGTATCTCGTTTGCTTTGTCTCCTATTTGTCCATCCGCATTCATATGTCGGTTACTTGATAACATTAAATAAATAGAAAATTTTCCAATTAATTGTTGTATTTATTTGTTTTTATTTAATTCAATAATCGATAAATGAAACATGGTTAAGATGTATGGGCTGCCGTTTATACGAGTACGATAGCAAGATTTTGATGCCTATATCTCGCTGATAATGATTGATCAAAGATGTTCAGCCTCACTGTCACATTGCGGTAGAATAAGGGGGTCTCTGTTCATTCGTTGTTTACCAACCATATAACAATATTTGACACAATTTGCGCAGCGGACCAACCAGTTTTCGCAGTTTATTTAAATAGTTTAGCGATGTGTCAGGTCGTGTGAATGTTGGCACAAACTGAAGAATGATGTTAGCATTTATCTGTAACTATTTTTTTGACAAAATACATTGTGATGTTTAATCATCGTTTCGAATGTTTTTAATATGAAAATGTTTTTTTTTTTTTTTTAATATGCACATCGTGTTATGTAATGCGTTATCATAATGTTCAGACGTAGTTCTTTTATGCGATACGTTAATATTTACTTAATTGTTTTTTAATGATACTGAACTGGTTATGTTTTTTTTATCTAATATAAAATATTCAAGATATCACTATTTAATATACTGATAAAAAAATATATTAAAGCTCTTGAAAAATAAAACTCAAATTTTCATACTCAAAAACTCAGCTCAACTCAAATTATCGCGTATGTTAATTAAATGTATTTTGTACCAAGTACTATCTGTGTACAAGTATTAATTGCGTAGAGCACTTTCTAAATACAGCAGCGAGTGTCGCCAGAGGGCGCCACCGCACGGGATCCAACACCGCACCTAATTAGCTGCTACAAGCCCTGGCACAACATCCCACGCCCAACGCACTTGCCCACCATTCACACCCTTAGAAAGTAACAGCTAGCATACCCTACTGAGTAATCATTAAATATAAATCGGTCTCCAGTGCACTTCTCTCAGAGTTGTAAAGTTTTCTCCATTTAGTGTATAATAAAAGCATTAGTATCCCTTAGTGGCCACTTATCCCGAGTGCTGCAGTTGGGTAAACATGCAGCAAACAATGATGTTTAAAAGGTTATTTGCAAACACAAACTAACCTAAAGTGTATCTATACATTGTGGATTAATATTGAAGGAATATAGCAATATATTACAGCTAGATAAATAGAAAATAATAAAGAATAGTTACAATGTAACTTTACCGCTGTCGTCAGCTGTTAGCTCGTGAGTGCGCTCCTGACACAGTGGCGGTGAGATGAAGCGACACCTCTTCAGGTATCGCTCCAGCTCCCGCTAATGACAAACTAATGACTTCATTGCGCGTACCCGAGCGCGTGCGCTGCGCAAATCCAAGTCGCCCACGCATCTACTCGCCCTCACAGTTAGAACTCTTTCACATTAACTGGAAAAACGCGCGTCTACAATGAAGTAAAGAAAATGTTAAGTTCACAAATTACAAGCAATAAACCCTATACATGTATAGGTGGTACAGCGTTGGTTGGCGCTTGAAACATTATTCGATTTTTAGTCGTGCAACTAAACAGTTGAATTTGCTTCAAAACAATCGACAATCGGTAATCTCACAACAGCTGTAACATAGATTAGTGAAAGGTGTGCGCCCGCTCTAAATCATAATAAGTTTAAAGTCGTATCATCAAGTGTGGACAGGCTCTAACATTATCAAATCGGGCGATGACGTGACACAGCTAGAGACCTCAATCACTTGCTTTGTTTACGATCTTCTGGAGGATATGCTGTTTACGAACGTCCTTCATTTCTGTACCAAATACGTTTATATAGCGAATAACACTGATTCTTCCTTGTTAAATCTGTTTACGTAGTGTTAAAGATAATTTGTGACATTCTAAGTGTGGCGGATATTGTCATAGTTAAATAGCAAACTCCCACTCTCCTAACAACGTTGTTGCTCTTGATTCCGTATTAATACCATGTTGATTATAATTTAGCATAACTTATGAAAGGTTCATTGTCCGGACCTCCAGATTTGGTAGGGAGCTGGGGAACCAGTCTTTGGTCGTGGCTTCGCTTGCTTATGTTTGTCATATGAAAATTAAAAAAGAATTAGGTCTTTTCACACAATCAGGCGCTAATGGTTTAATAGGTTCGTAATTAATTACTTTGTACGTAGTGTTGAATTCTTGTATTTCCTAGTTATAGTTAAATATCGTTTGAATA